CTTCCTGCAACACGTCAAACAACGGCAAGACCTTTCAGACACCAAAATATCCCATCATGCAACAGCCAATACTGAGTTTAATGCTTTTTATAATTGAGACATACTTGAGCTAAGAATCAGTTTGTGTGCCACAAAAACAAAACAACCCCTCATGTTATCTGAATGTGTCTTCGCCTTAACTCCAGAGGTCCCAAAATTAGGGCGGCAACTAATTATTTTCACTACCGAGTAATCTTCATTGATTTTTTTCCCCTATAAGATGTCAAAAATTGTCAAAAGATTGTGCTGTAACTTGTCCAACCCATAAATGCATCTTCAGAGGCCTTTTATGGGTTTTCTTGTTGAAAGATGTTTAATTTACATCAAGTGAATCAAAGGAAATCATTAAATCCTGACTTCTTTTCTTCAGGCTTCAGAAAATCTGGCATTTTACCAACTAATTAAATTTATCGATTGATTTTGTAGCTCTGTTTAAAACAACAGGAACAAAATTTACACAGACCTCATCTGTAATCTATAAAATCTCAAAGTTAAATTAAATATAAATGGGTATATCAGATATCTGCACACTTCCAAAAAAAAAAAAAAAAAAAAAAAAAAGATATCTGCACCCTTAAGACATTTGTTAAGAGTGTAGAAATAGTTCTGTCATTTTATAGACAAATCAATGAGAAGCAACAGTGTAGCCCTGTGTTTGCCATTTGGACTGAGGGTTAGTGTGCACTACAGAGATGTAAATAATATTAAATTAACAGATAAAACCAAAACACTGATTAATGTCCACAGGATAATGTGCAGAAGTTCAAGTTGAATAATGCAAACAATCACGCACACGTCTCCGCTGAATCGAAATAGCAGAAGAAACAGTGTCTAGATTTTTCTTTTTGTTGTTCACGTAGCAGGTTTTTTAAGCCACATTTAAAATGTTTATTTTAAAGAGTTATTCACGCGAGAGTACTTTATTTAAACAACTAATAACGCTAACAACATGGTAAGGCTCCTTTTAAGGAGGACCTATTCTGCCTTCCCTGAGGTCTCGTAACAAACCAAAGTATTAAACATGTCGAAGTAAAACATGAAAGCCAAAAAATATTTAGAAATTAGTAAAATTATTTATAACAAATATTTTGTTTCTATTTTCACAATAAAATTGGCCAATCACAAGGAAGTGGCTGTACAAAGGAACAGTGTAAGATCGGTAAAAGAAAACTACAAATCATGCTACGCTACGTTAGCTGAGTCCCCGAATAAAGACCAGGAGCTGGAAATGAGCAGAATAGGTCTCCTTTCAGAATCACACCGAAGAAATGTAAAGTTTTTAAAATAAAAGATTATATGATGTAAAAATAATAAAATGGTCACTGCTCTCTGCGGACAAACTGCAGAACAGTGTTTTCACACCTTATTTGTTGTCATTTATGGGCTGATGTACAGTACGTGCTGATGCTGATGTGTCAGATTAACTTAATGTTTTCAGTTTGTGCATCAAAACTCATCCAAAGACTGTTTATGAGATGAAGAAGCTTCACTCTGTAACAAAGCTGTAAAACGGCTCATTTTAGACCAATGAATGAAAACTATTTGTTGTCCAGACCCGAAGATGAAGGTTTTTTTTGTAAATGTCAAACTTTGGACTGTTGAAACGATATTTTAAAAATATAACCGTGAGCCAAGGAAAGTTAACCCTCTGTAAAACCTCAAAATCCCATCCTTTCGTGACCCTCGGGACCAAAAATGGTCCCGCCCCAAAAAGTGCTCTAAAATGTTATATATCAATATTTTTTTCCACTTTAAATTAGTCAATCTTTTAAAACTACTTCTGCTTAAAATATCCATATCAAGTTTTAATTATATTTTCATTGTTTTAACCCTTTAAATACCAGTTTGTGTACATGAGCGCCCTGTTTTTAACAGAAAAAAAAAATTAAAAAATTAATATTTTCCATAAAATACATTTGAAGTAATATTTGATTGTTATTATAATTAGGCCTTTAGATGGGCCAAAGATTGGCACCAACATTCATTTTGATCCATTATTATTTTTTGTGCAGGAGCACATTTTTAAAAATCCATCCTTTCATGACCCTCGGGACCAAAAATGGTCCCGCCAAAAAAAGTGCTCTAAAATGTTATATATCAATATTTTTTTCCTCTTTAATTCATTTTCATAGACAAAACTATTAATCCAAAGCATTTTTCAGCAGGTTGTTAATCAACAATAAAAACAGCCGTTAGCTGGATGAGCTTCTTTTTGACAGAGTGAAACTTCATCCTCCTCCAGCTGCTTGTGTTTCAGGACAGTTAAACTTGATGTCAGATCAATATTTGAGCTGATCAGGGTCACAGCTTTATAGAGGGAAAGGGAATATGACGCTTGCGGAAAAAACAGGGTGTAAATATCAGATTTAAAAGCACCTGTTTTGTTTCAAAGATCAACAGTAACCCTTCCCTGTAACAGGTGTTTCTGATTTCACTGTTTGTTTGTTTTTTAAGCTCAATCATGTCTGGAAACAGCTGGATTATTAATGAATAACCTCACTGTAAATTTAAGAATGTTTTCAAATATGACTTCAAATACAGATTAACCTGTTATTGCCATTACATCGATTATTGGCAAGTAATTTGTAAGTAGCAAATCAGACTTTATTTTCTATTCAAAGCAAGCTCTCATATCGAATCTATTAAATAACAGGCTTGCTGCTGCATAGAGGGGACAATAACCACTTAACCCTTTCTGATGCCAGAAATCACATTTGCAACACTAATGCAAACGTTACATATATGCTGACTTCACTGACCTTGATTTGCAGCGTAAAAATGAAAAAAAGAGAAGAAAGAAGTAAAAATTGTAAAAAGTCTTTTTAATGCATGCCCAGTGAGGGGTTAAGCATCAGTTCACAAATACTCAGGATTCAGAGCCTCACTGAGGTCATGACAGAACATCCCTTTTTATGCTGAGGACAGTTCACTTCAAAAATCAGTTTTACAGATTTTCTTTCCTTTGAGCTGTTCATCCTTCTAGATGTCTTTGTTGTAAATTGCACAGTTTTGCAGTTTCTTATAGGAACTGCAGGATTTAGAAATCCAACTGCATCACTGTGCAGAAGGAAGAATGGCTCTGTCCATTAGAGAGAAGCAAGCCTAAACTATATGGCCAACTGAAATCAAGACTGTAAATTTAATAATATTTATTGCTTTGATGTGCTAAAAAAAATACTTTGAAGTTATAAACCACACAAAAATAAATAAACCAACACCTCATCCATCGATCCATTACATCACTTGCATCATTTTAATGTCTGTTTCTATGTTCCATCCACAGCCTTAGCAGTTAAACTACAAACACCACAAACCCCTGTGCTACCCTTTAGCCCCACCCTTCTGCCTCCTGTCTTTTAGGGCATTAGGATGTTTGTCTTCTATGCATTTTCTAAGACTGTGTTCTAGCGACTGATTCCCTGATTGGTGCGAGCAGCGCCTAATCACAGGATCGCAGAGTCTGGACTAATGATTCTAACAAAGGATCTGATCATTCAGGTTCTGGTCCAGAGACAACCAGGAAGAGCCAAGTTCACGCTGGACTGAACAGTTTTACCATCAGACCTGCTCCCAGGCAGCAGGATGGAGGAACGTCACTCAGCTGTTTGCTTAATGCAGTTTTTATCTTCAGCAGTTGGCTGTAAACACGCAGAAGTGACTGAAGCAGCTGATCTGATCCGTCAGTGATCGCTCGGTGTCTTTAGATCCAGTCTGACTTTAAAACTCTGAGCTGGACCAACATCAGCTCAGGTAGGCCAAGCTAACTGTCTGCAGCCTTGTTCAATAAACAAGCTCATGTGAAATGAACTGATTATTTGGGAAAAGATCTTTATTTGCTTTCTGTTCTCAGGTCAGTGCCAGATAAAATCGCTTATCCTGACAGCTGAAGCACAGGATAGCAGGCTGAGGATACTGAGGCATGCATGACAAATAAAACATTCAAATTTAAAGCAACACTGTATTGATAAGCATGAGCAAACAAGCAACCTCTATGACCCCAAGAGTTGCTGGAACAAACTTCATAATTTCTTTTCTTCTGGGTACTAGGCACAGGTGTGATTTTTAATCATTCAAAGACTCATTGTGTAGATATAGAAACTGTATTTAGACACGTGTGAAGCTAACATGTTACAAGTCTGCCACAACTATCAGTTTCAGGTGGAAGGCAATCTTTGAAGAGTACAGCCTTTTACTGTGACTATAGAGCTGATATTAAACCAAGATGAGAAATGAGTAAAAATCCATATTTGATTATTTGTTCAAATAAGGCCTCGTTCACATGAGCATAGAGTAAAGCTTTATATTCAAACACTTGCTAACTTTCCTCCGAGCAGTAGTGAAATTTGAAATTGTGACACACACTTTTCATCATTGGTCCAAACCAGGTGGGTCACACCTGCACAGTGTCCTACTGACCTTACTATACAGATGGCAAACATGTCGGAGTTCATTTGAAATACACTATTTGTGCTCACACTCACACACTCCAATGAGAACAATGCAATGAGAACGAGTGAAGACAATTTTTGACCCTAACAGCTTGTAATTTGGGTTTTATTCATCTGATTATCAGAAAACATCCAGAAACCTTTTCTTTCGCCATTTGTCTTGAAGACTAAAGAGTCACCACCGTCACTAAGCAGCAAGAAGAAATAACATTCATGCAAATTAATTGCATGCTGGAGTCAAACTTCTGTGCGTGTTTGAGGTATTTGCGCTCGTTGTTGTAGTCAGTGTTTAATATTACACAGAATACACAGAATGCTTTTCGTAAAAGTAATGCAGTATGTTACTTAATTAGCTCTGGGAACAAGTAAAATAGCTGAAACACTCTGTCTCATAATCACCATTTAACTACAGCCCCATGCACCAGTGCAAATCCCTAATAAGGACACAGACAGGAGGACTAACAATTCCAAGGAACTGGAATACTGGGAACCGGTTTTCTACAGGAACCAACAACCTGCTGCTGCTCCAACCTCAGTGGATCATCACAGCTCGTCCACTCGTCGTCCTGCTTGCTCTCATTGTTACACAGATTATCACTCCAACCTGTAGAGACAAGAAACAAGTGTATTAAATAAGTCACTTCAAAAGCTGTCACTCAGAGATGCAGCACATCTAGCCTGTTCACAGCTGCAGTGGAGGCGTGGCCTATCTTAGCTTCTCTGAGCTTTCATGTCAACATGTACACCCACTAACCTACACGTTTGAACATCGAGTCTATTGTTCCACAGTGGAAGTGAACTGTGAAGAGTCATAAATGATCCATGAACATCTTTTTTAAAAATGTATTTCCTGCTGTTCAATTTAACACAAACATCTTTGTGGCGGCTTTCTGTAATATCACCTGGCTAGTAAGCATGGAAGCAGCCATGAAAGACACTAAGCTAAGTTAGCTATGAAATATAGAAATATAGATCTGAATGTTATCTCAGATGTGTACTGTATATATTTGTATATTTGTCTGGAATTATTTCTATTGCAGTACAATACTGCTGAATGCAACACAGAGTGACTCCAGCTCTTTACTGACCTCAGAGTCTCCAGTCTATAGTCAGGACTTTCCTTAAGATCCAACAGCTGCTTCACATCTGGATCCCGTAGGTTGTTTTGGCTCAGATCGAGCTCCCTCAGATGAGAGTGGTTGGTCTTTAAAGCTGAGACCAAAAAAGTACAGCTGATCGCTGACACACTGCAGCCCCTCAATCTGAGAAATGAATGAAACATTTAAGTTTAGACAGATTTTAAAATTATAACCAGTTTAATAATCTGAAGCTAAAGACGGTATAGGATGTAAAAGGTTAGGAAACAGAGACTTCAAACACCTCAAACCAACAAGATATTTTATTCAGCAGAAAAACTAATAAAAAGTAGTTTAATATAACTGATAGATTCAATAAAGACACAATCAAACGAATCCTGTGCATCAGACAAGTCAAAAATGTATCCTTTCAGCCCAAGTTCATCAAGCCATAAAATGGAAATGTTAACAAAATGATGATCAATACTTATAAAACATTTTTATTTAAATAAACATGAAAATATATTTGATTGTCAACTTTCATTAATGATCCAAAAAATGAGTCCATCACAGTCCTCTTGTTCTTTTGTTTTCTTATTCTCTTTGCTTCCTTGTTTCTTAGCTTCTCACTTTTTGTTTACATGTGTCAGGAGTGGTCCTCCTTTGTGCCCACTCTCCATGTGAACTACAGGTTAACATGATTGCTTTAAGGTTGAGGAAATCATCCAGTTGACACCAGTTCATTGCTCTTATCATCATAAGATAGCAAGTTATCCCTGTGACTTTTTATTCCTCTTTTCATGATCTTTCCTTCGTGGAGACTCTTCCCAGCCTGCAGAGATCCCTGTCTGTAACTCAAGGAAATCAGCACTCCCTCCAGTTTTTAGCTGCTCCTCTCAAAAAAAATTGAGCGCATGTTTAAATCAAAAATGGGATTGATTACTTAAATAGTAAAGCTGAAAATCTTTACTGATATACATTATGTTGTTTGTTAAAAACAAAATCATCAAATCTTTGAAAGCTGGATTCAAAATCACACCAGAAACCAAAGTTACGATTATTCAAGCATTTCTTACTTCGTCACAAAGTAGTTGTCTGCAACTGCTTCCATTTTTGAATCGATATAATTAGCTGCCTTTTGGCTGGGCTTCTCACTACAGGGCTGGACCTCATATAGGCACAAATTAAAAAGTTGTTCATCTGTTTCAGGTTGTTGTTAGCATAGCACTGCAGCCTGCAGCCAACCCACATAAAGTGGGGCGTACACTCTGAGGCTAACCTCAAAGAAAGTGAGTTTAATAATGTTGCTTCACAGTTTGGAACATTTTATAGACTAAACTAGTTAAATTAGAGCATATTTATAAAATAATTACATTATTTAATGACTTAGCCGTCACCTTGGTTTTAATTCTAATATAACAAAATTTTCTGATTGTGCTTAATCTACGTTTTTTAGGTTTTCAGTGTGTTGCTCAACATTGTTGTGCAACATTGCATCCTGCAGTTATTAGACTGAAGCAATAAAGAAGAAAGCATTAGCATTAAATCCTCTGCAGACTGCCAGCCTACATATTAAACTTTTATATTTATATGACCACACAACCAAAACATTTTTGCCTGACCTGAGCACTTCCAATCTGCAGCCTGGACTCTCCAGATAACCACACATGTTCTTCACTCCTGAATCCTGCAGCGTGTTGGCACTCAGGTCCAAATCTCTCAGATAGACGGGGTTGGACTTAAGAGCTGAGACCAGAGAAGCACAGCTGGCCTTTGACAACCTACAACCCTTCAGTCTGAATAAAGAATTTAAAAAAGGCAGATTCAGATTCAGTCATTTATAAAATACAGGAAATATAATGTATATTAGTTTTAAATTTGCACCTATACTATAAATTATGTACTAATATACAAATCATTGCAAATTACAGTTAGGCCTGTGTAGGGATGGGTATCGAAAACCGGTTCTGGTTGAGAACCGGTTCCCACTCTTTCAATTCCTTGGAATCGTTTGCCATTTTTGCTAAACGATTCCCTTATCGATTCCAGTCGCCCCGAATGACGTCACCACGTTGCGGCGCGTCATTTACCTGGCAGGAAACACGGCGCCTAAGCGGCTCAAACGCTCAATAGTTTGATTATACTTTATGAGAACCGATGACAACAGGGCAACTTGCAAAGTAGATATTTCATTTAAGGGAGGAAACACTACGAATATGCAAAAGCATTTGCTCACAAAACACACGATGACACATGTTTTTAATTCCGCTCCGGACTCGTGACTCTCAACCCAGCAGCAGCGGTAACGTTTGCACGTCCTCTCCCGTTAATGCGACAGGTAAATAATCAACTAACAGTGCATATTATGTTAGCGCGATCTGCCTTATTACAAGACCTGCCATTACTGTACATGTAGGTGACCATGATGAGAGAGACAGACAGAGTCTGGCTGGCGCTCGCTGGCAGTTCTCGCTGCAGTCTACCGGTAGCGTCTCCTTTCAGGCCAGGATAGACGAATGTCACCGAGCAGTGTCTAAGTTTGTGGTCAAAGGCTTGCACCCATTTGCCACAGCAGATGCCCCCGATTTTTGGTAAGTGAATGTGTTTAATTGTAGGCAGGGACATTACTGGATATTCTTGTGTAATTGCCACAGAACAATTTATGTTATACTTTGTTATTGCTACAGAAGAATATTTATTTTATTATTTTACATCCGTAGGCTGTGGATCTCTTAAGATCTCACTGTTGGGTTTGTAAGGCCATGTTACTCCTAAATTTCTATCTTGTTCAAAGAGAAGATATAAAACAAAGTTCTAAGCTAATCGACCTTAGTGTTCTCCTTTTAAAAAAAAAAAAAAAAGAATCGATAAGAGAATCGATAAAGAATCGAATCGTTAAACAGAATCGAAAATGGAATCGGAATCGTTAAAATCTTATCAATACCCATCCCTAGGCCTGTGCTTTGTTCAACAAAGACATCATTTTTCTAGTTTTCCCTTTGTACACCACCGCAGTGGATCAAATAACCAATATGTGATTGAAGTGTGAACTTTCAGCTTTAATTCAGGGGGTTTAGGAATTACAGATTTTTTATTAAATAGTCCCTCATTGTCAATATGATTCCTGCTGTCGACGGTGATCATAAGTTACAGAGTACTGAGAACTAAACTTTCTTTTTCTGTGCTTTGACTGCAGTTCAACACAGAAACAATGTACAAGCACAAATACACCGACTTGCTCTGTGACTCAGACTTCTGAATCCTCAAATTAGTTTAACATCAATATTATGCTGTCAGCTGTATCCAATCATCTGATAATGGAGCCTCTTTATAACGGGGTTACTTCACAGCTCAACAAAAGAAATGTCTTAACACTTCAAACTACAATGCTCAATTTGAAGAGAGGAAAAAAGCAAGTATTACTCAGTAAACTGACCTCAGAGTCTCCAGTCTGCAATTTGGATTCTTTAGTCCGACAGAGAGCAGCTTCACTTCGGAATCCTGCAGCTTGTTAAAGCTCAGGTTCAGCTCTGTCAGATGGGAGGGGTTGGACTTCAGAGCTGAGGCCACAACTTCACAGTGAGCTTCTGAGAGCTCACAGCTAGAAAGTCTGTAAAAAAAAGAAGCACATTTTACAAAACATAGTGTTATGAAGTGTCTTGATGCATGCTCAATTGTCCAAGTAAGGAAATCCCAGAAAGAACAGAACAGAATCAACCTTTTGGGATATTGTTATGAAAGTAGACATTTATTTCGTTTTTCGTCATCTAATCTTTAGATTTTCTAATAAGTTTTATTGAGTCAACAGAAGCTGACAAGAACTAGCAACACAAGGCAACAGCATTTGTTTGCACTGATTGCACCTAACAGAACCTAAAATATGTTAGCAGGAGTTTTAAGTTTAAGTTTAAAACCATTTTCTAATGAAAATGTGGAAGTTTACTGTCCATTCTGACCAAAATGTGAAGAGTTTCCTCACAGAAACTCCAAATCATCTTTCTGTTGAATTCTCAATCACAGCAAAATTGTATCTGAAATCTTATCTGATCTTAATTTTGCCCTTTGGCTCGAAACTGCTAACCTGAACCAAGTTTATAATGTTAGTCACGGGCAGACTTACTGAGCCTTTCTGCAATTTCTCACAGCTGGAATGAGTCTCTGTTTGCCCTCCAGTGTGGTGTTATATTCACCCAGGTCCAGTTCATTCAGAACCTCTTCTGACATTTGGAGAATGTAGGCCAGAGCTGAGCAGTGGATAACAGAAAGTCTCTGTGATCTCTTTCCTGACTTCTGGAACTCTTGGACCTCCTGATGTACTGAGAGGTCATTCATCTCCATCAGACAGTGGAAAATGTTGAGACTTCTGTCAGGGGATATTTTTTGGGTGTTTATCTCCTTCAAGTTGCTGATGGCTTTCTGGATGCTATCTGGATTACTCTCTGTCCGACCTAGCAGGTCTCTTAAAAGTCTCTGGTTGGACGTCAGACAAAGGCCATGAAGAAAGCGGACAAAAAGGTCCAGGTGACCATTTTTACTTTTGAGAGATTTCTCCATAACTTTGCTCAGAAAGTCATCTAAAAATAGCACATGGGCAGTTTTATTTCCAAAATTCCTAGACGTCCTAGAAAACTTAGGGATTAGGAAATCCTCCAGGATCTTGCTCTGTCTACTGGTGAAACAGTGGAACATGTAAACGGCAGCCAGAAACTCCTGAATGCTCAGATGAACAAAGCAGTAGACTGGTTTCTGGAAGATCACACACTCTTTTTTGAAAATCTCTGTACAAAGTCCCGAGTACACCGAAGCCTCTGTGACATCCAGACCACACTGCTCCAGGTCTTCTTGGTAGAACATGATGTCTCCTTTGTCCAGATGTTCAAATGCCAGCCTCCCAAGCTTCCGAAGAGCTTCAGGAGTAGAAGCCTTATGGTACTTCTGAATCTTCCTCTTGGTCTGATCCAGCAGGAAGTGTGAGTACATGTCAGTCATGGTCTTGGGCAGCTCTTCTCTCTGCCCTCCAGTCAGCATGTGCTGCAGAACTGTAGCAGTGATCCAAGAGAAGACTGGGATTCCACACATGATGTGGAGGCTCCTAGATGACTTGATGTGGGAAATAATTTTGCTGGACAGCTCTTCATTACTGAATCTCTTCTTAAAGTACTCCTCTTTCTGAGCATCAGTGAAACCTCGCACTTCGGTGACACGGTCAACAAGTGTAGGGGGGATCTGATTGGCTGCTGCTGGTCGGGAAGTTATCCAGATGAGAGCCGTAGGAAGCAGATTGCCTTCAATGAGGTTTGTCAGCAGATCATTGACCGTTGACTTCTGTGCGACATCAGACATGACGCTCCTCTTAGTGAAATCCAGTAAAAGTCTGCTTTCATCCAGACCATCAAATATAAACAAAAGTTTACAGACAGCGAGCTTCTCTGCTGTGACCTTCTGTAATGTTGGATGGAAAACCTGGAGCAGCTCCAGGAGACTATACTGCTCATCTCTGATCAGGTTCAGCTCCCTGAATGAAAGCAGAATCACCACACTGATGTCTTGGTTTTCCAAACCTTCTGCCCAGTCCAGAGTGAACTTCTGCACTGAGAAGGTTTTTCCAACGCCAGCAACACCGTAGGTCAGAACCACTTTGATCACTTTGTCAGGTAAGGCTTTAAATATGTCATGACACTTAATTGGAATTTCATGGAGGGTCTTCATCTTGGAACCTCTCTCCAGCTGCCTCACTTCATGTTGAGTATTAACGTCTTCACTCTGTCCCTCTGTGATGTAAAGGTTTATGTAGATTCTGTTCAGGGGAGTTCTTCTTCCTGTTTCTTCAGATCCTTCAGTTACAGTTTCACATCTCTTCCTTAGACTGAACTTATGTTCATCTAAAAGCTCCTGCAGACCAGCAACTGCTAGAAGACAAAAAAGAAAGACAGAAATAAAATTAATGAAACTTTAATATTGGTATAGCATATCATCATCTGGAATCTTCCCCTATATCTTATAAAGTATAATCTTACTTTGCACAGTGTTGCTCTGACCACCTATATGTCGTCCAAACTTGGCTGTTTCTCCACAGTGGGAAACAGGATTCTTTGTCTTCTCTCTGTGCATACAAAAGAAAATGTATATTGACCAGTACACATAAAATACAACTTTATTTATATAGCACATTTAAAACCAAAGGTACACCAAAGTGCTTCACAACAAGGTTAAAACATAAGATAAAAGACTATAAAAGAGAACAAAGGTGCAGACAGAATAAGAAGTAAAACATTATAGCATGGTTTAGAAGATAAAATTACAGGGTATTCATTAATATAAGGTGGGGGTATTTATTCAGTGGGAGATTAGTAGGAAGATAAGTAACACAAGGGTAAAATATAGGGGGAAGTGCACTAACTAACTGAAAACGCTCAGTCAAAGAGGTACGTTACATACATTAAAATAATAGTCTAATGCAGACAAATAATTATAGAAAAATATATATTCTTTGGTGTATAAATGCTAAGGTTGGGCGATATGTGAAAAAATATGTAAAAAGTTTCCAACCGGCAATCGTCAGTTCAACAATCCCTGATGGGCGATATAGGCGCACATGCACAGACTTTATGATCAGTGGGGCGATCATGCACGGACTAATTTTCAAGTTTACAACACATATTTGGAAAACTACAAATTACTTTACCATGGAAGAAGATATTACATTTAAAAAAAGAAAGAAAGAAAAAAGAAAAACCGCCTCACTCTGGAGACCGGCCAGTTCAGAATACTTTCTTACTTTGTGTCCGAGGGTCCAGGTTCATTATTAAACGATATAGGGGGATTTTTGGAAGCGTCACTCCTCATAGACAGACACTCTGATCCTGGAGACGCTGGGCTGCATCTGGGCTGCTGACCCCTGGGAACACAAACATATAATATTTAGCACATTGTTCATCTGCATCTTAATGTTGTTGGAAATAAGTCACTTATTATGAGTACAGGACTGAGGTTCTGGAGGTTTTCGGTGAAAGCAGAAACATTCACTGTCCCAGGGTCTCAGTTTGGATTTTATTACTCAGGAACATATTCTACCTTCTATAGGTACATACTGTCATGGTCACTGGATCTTGGACACAGGTTTGAATTTTGTGATGTTGGGGGTTTTATAGTTCTGTAGCTTTGGTTACGTTTAGGTTATGATGTCAGATTTAGTTTGTGCTTTATTCCTTGCTTCTCTGTTTATTCCTGCCTCCTTTGTCTTTCTGTGCTTTACTTGGTTTTCTTTTGTGCTTGGCATCAGGTTAATCTTGTCTCGCTGTTCAGTTGTGGCTCTCTTCCTGTTTTATTTTGGTGACTGTTCTTCTCTGTATCCTGTGTCTAATTTCCTTCCAGTAATTATGATAGTTTACTGCTGCTGCGTTCCCACCTGTTGCCTTTTCCTTCATCATCCTGCGTGTCTCTGTATCCCTCATATTTTGTTGTGTTCTCCATCATGAGTGTGGCCTATTTCATAATGTGTTTTTAAAATATCTGACACTTACAAACACAAGAAGTCCTTCATGTTTTCATGTTACAGCTTTTCTGTTCAAATAGGTTTCTGATTTTGAAAATCACTGAAGCTTTTCTGTGTTAGTGTCATCCTAACAAACCATCTTCGTGTCATTTTAGAGGAGAAATAGTCTCTCACTTTGTGTTTGAGACTTCAGGTTCATTACTGAAGTGCATAGGCTCGTCTTTGGAAAAGTTAGACAGAGAGTCGAATCCTGAAGTCTCTGTTCCTTTTCTGAAACACAGACATATAATATTTAGCACATTGTTAATTTGTATCTTCATGTTGTTAGAAATAAGTCACTTATTATGAGTACAGGACTGAGGTTCTGGAGGTTTTCAGTAAAAGCAGAAACATTCACTGTCACAGGGTCTCAGTTTGGATTTTATTATATCATACCACAATAAGCTGATCTTACAGATATGGAAGCATGTTTGTTCTGCCTGCTAAGGGAATTTCTTCAGCTCATTTTACAGCAGAAACATTTTCTTACTTTGTGTTTGAAGGTCCAGTTCATTACTGAAGAATGGGGATCATCTTTGGAGATGTTACTGTTCACTGACAGACACTCTGATCCTACAGACGCTGTTCTGCGTCTGGGCTGCTGACCTCTGGGAACACAACATATAATATGTAACACATCATTCATGTTGACGGGATCTGTCTGGTCCAGGGTCACTGACCCAGGGTTTGAGGTTTTGGGGATGTTTCTTGTCTTCAGCATCTCCTGTGGAAGTCAGTCTCCATGTTTATTTACCTCTCTGTCTCACCAGCTGTGTCCCTTTCCAAAGATCCACATCCTAAATGGTCATTCTAAACTGGTGAGAATGTAAGAAAATTTAGCTGTATAAGCAGCTAATAAAAGAACTAATCAGTGCAGTTGATATCAATGCTAGTTTGCACTGAACTCTTCTTGTTTCCTTTTTCCAATGTCTTTTTGTAGTTTTTTTACTTGATGATAAGGATGGAAGTTTTAAAAAATTATAAAATATGCATTTTTCCAACAAGAGTCAGTTTGTCTGTGGCCCACAAGCTTGGTGAACAGTTTATAATGTCTATCTATTACTCAGGCAGTCCTCCCTATACATATTTATCTCTATGAGTACTGCATGCATACAAATGTAAAAACTCCCTCATGAGTTTCATTTGCATTATTTCTGTGCAAACAGGTTTTTAGTCTTTAACATCCGCGGTGAAATTTGCTCCGGATGTTCCACATCAAGGGTTTAGGGGGAACACTTCACTAAAATAGATCCCACACATTATTTCTTCATAACAAATAAATCATCTTCACTTCACTTTACAGTAGAAACGGTCTCTTACTTTGTGTCTGCAGGTCCAGGTTCACTGTCATTTATGGAAAGGTCTCTTCATAGGAAAACAGAGAGATTGTGCACTGTCCTCCTCTTCCTCCAAACATTCATTTTTCAGCCAGGCTCACCGGTACTCAGAAATGCTAAGCATTAGCACAGAATACAAACCACTCTCATGACTGACAAACAGGAAGTACAACACACACACAGAGAGACTCCAGCAGTGAACTGAGTTGTCAGTCCACTTCCTGAATTAGCACATCATTGTTTTTTCTTCTAGTCCACAGAGACAGCTGACTGAAGCAGACGAAACATAATGTCGGGCTTAAAGCTCACATTCATTTCTTCCTCCTGCTCCGTAGTTTGCAGTGACCTAGATCAATGGAGAGAGATGCTCCTCCTTCTCATTTACAGGAAATCACATGACGTCATCCTGGTGTGTTGTATGTGAGAGAGAGAGAGAGAGAGAGAGAGAGAGAGAAGAGAGAGAGAGAGAGACATACAAGAATACATAAATATATCATATAATTAGGCTTCTAGATTTATGATTCAAGAACTTTCAGAGCATCAAATCACATCGAACACATTCTCAAAACACACACATATATGCCATATATGGACAATGAAGGTTTATATATAATCTGAGGCCCCCTAATGGTAGACTTCTGGTTTTATCACCAAAATGAATACTTTCGTTTCTAACTGGTAAGTCGAGTGGCATAGTGAGTAAGCGAGCAGGTAGCAACTTGATTCTAATCATGTAGAAGTCAATAGTTAAACATTAATGTAGCTCCATCAGTGTGTGTCAGGGAGACCTTTGGTCCAGCTTGGTTGTACGTCTCTTTTCTTACTATCAAAGACAACAGGCCTAAATTTAACAGCCACTTAAACATTGCTATCAGAGTAATCTAAACTGGGTTAACCCTTAAAGGTCTTTACACTTTGGGTTGGTTGTAAATTTTATGAAAAGAAGCTAGCATGGAAGAAATATGATACCACTACGTCACATTTTTTTATTAGGTTTTGGGAAACCTGATTAAAAAGGATTTATAAAAGTCTAGCTCTTGCACATGAC